CAGAGCTCGGTGGACCAGTTCAGTACAGGTGGATGTATCCGTTCGAGCGTTTCATGAAGCATCTTAAGGGTAAAGCCAAAAACCTAGCTAAAGTGGAAGGCTCAATTGTGGCGGGAAGCTTGACGCAAGAGACTTCGCACTTCACTTCGTACTATTTTGCACCGAAAGTACGAACACGCAAAAGAGCTACTCGTCGATATGATGATGGAGGAGTTGGCCAAACATATGCAGTTCAGGGTGTACCTGACATATTCTCGGCGATCAGACATCTTAGTGGAAAACTAAAAGAAGTTTGGTGGTTGAATGAAAAAGATTATCACAATGCACATATGTATATCCTGCTAAATTGCGAAGAGTTGTCATCGTACGAAAGGTACTTTTTTAATTAATAATATATTTTATTTATATATATATATATATATATATATGTCAGTCTTAATAAACTATTTGTTGTTTTCTCAGCACATTCGTTGATGAGGTTAAAGAATGCATATCTGGGGTTTCTGAAAATGAAATCAATGATCGTAAAGATCAACACTATGCCTAGTGGTTAAAAGCGCAAGTACATATAAAATTTTAATGAAAAGACTAGTTTGATATATATATATATATATATATCCAAATGATCCGGATGATTTTCCAACATTGTTCCATGCAAAATCAAGAAATTAAAGCAAGTTTTTTTCTTATTAGGTGGACCCGAATGATCCGGATGAATTTCCAACATGGTTCCATGAGTTACTACTAGGTCTGATGGCAAAAATAACTACAGCCTCCATGTATTTCACTCGGGGCTATGTTTTTCACACATACCGTCACGGTGCAAAGTGGGCGACAACTAACTATGAAGTTTGTGTGAGGGGTGAAATAGATTTTTATGGAGTTCTGCAGGAAATAATTGAAGTGGAGTATCCTGGATTGTTAAGGCTGAAAACTGTTCTCTTCAAATGTGATTGGTTTGATCCAACTGTTGGAAGAGGGGTACGTCTAAACAAGTTTGGAGTTGTTGACGTGAACAAATCACGACGGTACAACAGGTTTGAGCCATTTATATTAGCTTATCAAGCAGAACAGATAACATTCTGCCCTACCCCCGAGTTCGATCAACAGGAATCTCATGGTTAACAGTAGTTAAAGTGGCTCCGAGGGGCAAGATTGTAGAGGTTGCAGAGGATGTTCCACTGCAACAGGACACTTGCGTAAATCTGACTGAACCAGATGTTGATGAGGAGATTTTCTTAATTGACCCTCGGAACAGGCAAGTTGAAGATCTTCCCAATGATACCGAAAAAGAAGGTGATGATGAGTTTGCTGAAACCGATGATGACGATTTGGCGGAAGTTGACAGTGATGGTGACGAAGTAATAGAGGAAGATGAATCTGATTGATTTTCATGCATCGTATTTAGCGAATGTTTGTTATTATGTAAATTTGTTTATTTGAATTTTTTTAATGATTAAAATATCGATTTTACGACCGTTTTACGACGATTTTTATAAACCCTATACCCTAAATTTAGGTTTTAAACCCTGAATGAATAGGGTTTAAACATTACGACGACTTTACGACGATCAGTCATAACATCGTCGTAATATTACGACGATTTTACGACGCGTTCACAGGTCAGGCGTAATTTCGTCGTAATATTGAAATCCAAGATTTTGAATCTTCCATCTGATTGGTTGTAAGGTATTTCACAAATGCTTTTGATTGGTTATCTTATTTTATATGAAAAGTTGTCAATCTGATGAAAATCTGAAATTTGAAAAAAACATACATATTTACAAGTTCATGCATGTTTTTGTAAATGTTAAGTAAAAGGTTATATATTAGATTAGATGATTTCAATATTTATTATCTCATGTACTAAATCCGTCATACATGCAAAGTTATGAACCTATTGTTATATGTTAGTTTGAAATAAGCTTTGCATAGTTCTTTATGCAATAAGCCTTTTGAAAGATTTAGGGTTTGATAACTTTTTACATAAACATCGTAAAACCGTCGTTCTATGGTCGTAACGGTACGACGTTTTATGACGAATGTTCCTTAAACCATCGTTAAACCGTCATAACGCTGATGAGGATCATACGTCTGACAACCCCCGGATTGGCTCCAAATCCGAGGTACGAGGTTATAAATGTTGGCATATTACGACGGTTTTACGATGGTTTAGGTTTTAGTTGTCGTAAAACCATCATAACGGTCAAACGCTCTGAACATGACACGTGTCATGTCATGCAATGGACCGAATTTTATACAACCAAATCGTCGTAAAATTGTCGTAACATTACGACGATTTTACGACGATCACAAAATCTATATAAGGGACGCGAGTTTTCCTCCTTCATCATTCATTCCTCTCTTCTCTTTCTCTCTCTCTACAAATATCTCTCTCTCTCTACCTCTCCCTCCTCTCCCTCCTCTCGAGCCACTTTGTAAGTTTTTTTTTAAATTATTTTCATTATAACTTTGTTTAATTTTTAATAATTAGATAGATATAATTAGGAGATTTATGGTTTAGGTTCGGAATTTAGATAGGCCCGGAAATTATTAATATATGATATAATTAGTAATTATATTTCATTTAATTTTGTAGATTACTTAGATATGGCTCCTCGGGCAAAGAGGTTCCACTACCGACAGATGGTAGATCCGGACGGTACGGCCTCGTCCGCTTCAGAATCAGGGTCCATCATCCCAAAGTCCTCGGGAACACAACGAACGGTTTCACAACCGGTCGTTGTACCATAGCCGGCACCATCTCCACCACCACCAGCCGAACCAGCAGCCCCAGAACCAGCCGCAGCCCCGATACAGCCTGTACCGTATGCCCAATTTACGGTATAGGATCTTCTACGCCAACCGGGTCGTGAGAGTATGAAGAAACTCGATCTGAATCGAGTCCCGGGGACATTTTGGTACGAGATTTTTTTTTCAATTTTTTTTAAACGAATAATATTTATAATTAATTGAAATTAACTTAATTTTTATTTGCATTTGACTAGGTTTATGACCGACAACGCAGTCGGTCGTAACGTTGCCGACATCATCAAGGGGTTTTTCGTACAACCCCATACCAGCTGGAAGAAGCTGGATCAGGCAACTCTTGACACTTGGTTCAAGTGTTTTGCGGTAAGTACTTCTTTAAAATTTTCGATTTATATTATTATTTTTTATTTTTTACAATAATTACTAACTTTTTGTTTTTTTTTCTAGCAAAACTGGCATTGGGAAACTTCCGCACACGTACGTGTGGAGACGGCCTTCAAAGAGAAGGTCAAGTTCCGCCTCAACAACACCGTTTCCGACTGGAAGCGGAAGTGGGAGGTCAACGGCAACAAGGCCAAGCCGGCGCCAATGGCCGATACTGTCTGGCACGGTCTGGTGCAGTATTGGTTGACTCCACACAACCAGACTACTGCCGCCAAGTGTTCTACATCCAGGTATTTTACTTTGTGTTTAGATTAAATTAAAATATGTATTTTTCTCTTAATAAAATTCTAATTAATATATTTTTCAGGAACGCTACTGACGATGCGGGAAATCGGAAGAACGTCCCGCACACTTCCGGTCAGATTTCTTTTGCCGAGAGACGACTTATGATGGTAAATTTAAATTATTAAGTTTTTGTTTTTAAATAATTAACTCTTATTTGTCTTATTAATAATTTCATTTTGATTTTGTAGATCGAAGAAAATGGGGGAGAACTTCCTCCGATGACGAAGGTCTTCGCCGAGACCCATAAGAAGAGGAACGGCGAATTCACGGATTCTCGGGCGGAAGAGATCTACAACGCCGCCTGTGCGCGGATCGAGGAGAGGCAGACACAGCTCACTCAGCAGGCGCCTCCGACGTCTCTTGGAGGTAGCTCGGTCCAATCCACCCCGACGCTGACGGTGGCGAAGATGGACCAGATTTTCGAAGAGGTAAGATATCTTTTTCTTATTTAGTGTAATTTTAACTTTATATTCTACTTTTTAACATAATTTTTTAACATATTTTCAGGTTGCCCCTAAGAAAAAGGGCCGGGTTTAAGAGATGGGATCCATCCGTGATACCTCGGTCGCTACGGCAACTGGTCATGTCCGGGCAGCGGATCTGCTTATCCGCCAGAAGATGCATCAGATGCGGATCCAGTACGAGACGAAGATCGACCAGATTATGAGAGCCGACAACCTGGTGCTCATGGCGCAGTTGGACAGGCTGAAGGCAGATTTATCGGATCTTCTGCTTCATCTTCTAGGAGGCAACGACCGGTGTAGACGGACGAAGAGATGTTCCGGTCTCTCGGGGTTGATCCTCCTCGAGGCGGGGATCAGGCGCCGGAAGCCTCCAACCGAAGACCCGGGGATCAGACGGCGGAAACCTCCAACCGAAGACCCGGCAAAGAACATGTAGAGCATGACGATGGGGAGGAGTACGGTGACGGGATCGACATTAGTTTAGATATAGATCTTTAGGGTTTTTTTTTAATTATTAAAATAATTTTTATTTTGAATTTTAATTACAATTTAAATTGTAAATTAATTCTTTTTTTAATTTAATTTTTAATTCGAATTAATATTTTTTAATTTCATTTATAAAAAACGTCGTATAATCGTCGTAATATAATTATTATTAATTTAATAAACCGTCGTATATTTGTCGTAACTCGTACGACGAAGTTACGATCATTTATTCGTCGTATATTATACGACGACTGATACGACGAATATACGTCCGTGTTTTACGACGGTTTTACGATGACATGATAAAATCTTTTACAATTGAATTACGACGAATCCTGCGTCGTATATTTTAGGACGATCCTACGTCGATTTTTAATGACGACTTTACGACGGTTTCGCTGTATACCAAATCAAGGCAATCCGATGTAAAGTCGTCGTAAGATGTACGAAGTATTTACGACGATCTTTTTCCGTCGATGTTACGACGAATATAAACCGTCGTAGATTATACGACGATTTTACGACGATTTTTCTATTACGACGATGAGTTTACGATGATTTGGAAATCGTCGGTAGTTCGCTATTACGACGAACTAGCGACGATTTTGGCCGTTGTAAAACGGTATTTTTCTTGTAGTGGGTCTTATAAGCGGTTCTGTAAGCCCAAAGAGCATCATCGAGTTTCTTGCTCCAGTCTTTTCTTGAGTTGTTCACAGTCCTCTCTAGGATCGCCTTAATCTGCCTGTTTAAAACCTCAACTTGCCCACTGGTTTGAGGGTGATAAGGACTAGCCACCTTGTGCTTGATACCATGCTTTTTTAACAAGCCCTCAAGAGTCTTATTAATGAAATGGCTGCCCCCATCGCTGATTACAACTCTTGGCACTCCAAAACGTTGAAAGATAATGCTTTTGAACAGCTTACAAACCACCTTTGAACCGTTTATGGGACTTGCAATCGCTTCAACCCATTTGGAGACATAGTCTACGGCCACCAAAATGTATTGGTTGTTGTGTGAAGAGATAAACGGCTCCATGAAGTCTATTCCCCAACAGTCGAAGACCTCAACCTCAAAGATTGGATTCTGAGGCATCTCACTTCTCTTAGAGATATTACCATGCTTTTGACATGATTCACAGCTTGTGACAACAGCTTGGGCATCTTTGAACATCGTCGGCCACCAAAACCCACATTATAAAACCTTGGCAACCGTCTTGAAATTCCCCAAGTGCCCACCATAAGCAGAATCGTGGCACTCTGGTAACACAGGCTGTACTTCTTCAGCTAAGCACCTTCTATAAAGATGATCTTTGTTGAGCACGTATAAGTATGGCTCATCCCAATGATACCTCCTCACATCTTTCAAGAACTTTTTCCTTTGGTATGAATCCAATTCAGGTGGCTCTAAACCGCATGAGAGTTAGTTAACAAGATCAGCAAACCATGGGAGGCTCCTCTCTCTGATTGTATTGACTTCTTCAACCTCTAAGTAAGACCTGATTACCATTAGATACTTTTCGGGTAAAGCGTCATCTAGAGGCACTTTTGAGTCCACTCTTAACCGTGAGAGATGGTCGGCAGCTCCATTCTCAATGCCCTTCTTTTCTTGTATCTCCATGTCAAATTCTTGTAGCAGAAGTACCCACCTAAGAAGCCTCGGCTTAGCGTCCTTTTTGGTCATGAGATACCTCAAGGCCGCGTGATCTGTGTACACAATAACCTTTGAACCCACAAGGTAATTCCTGAACTTGTCAAATGCAAACACAATGGCCAGCATCTCCTTCTCAGTTGTTGCGTATTTCTCTTGAGCCGAGTCTAAGGTGCGGCTTGCGTAGTAGAACACGTGCAGCTTCTTATCCTTTTCTACCCCAAGACTACTCCCACGACATAGTCTGATGCATCCATCATCACCTCAAATGGCAAAGACCAATCGGGAGCTTGGACTATTGGTGCACTAACAAAGGCCTCTTTGATCTTTAGAAATGCCTCCATGCACTCCTCATAGAACAAGAACTCAACCTCCTTGCAAAGCAGCCTTGTTAGTGGCCGAGCTATCTTAGAGAAGTCTTTTATAAACCTTCTATAGAAGCCGGCGTGCCCCAAAAAGCTTCTTATCCCCTAAACTGACCTCGGAGGCTGCAAATTCACCATGACCTCCACTTTTGCCATGTCGAGCTCAATACCCTTCTCAGAGACCTTATGACCCAACACGATGCCCTCCTGTACCATAAAATGGCACTTCTCCCAGTTCAAGACCAGCCTGTGCTCCTCACACCTTTTCAAGACCTGTGACAAATTAACAAGACAATCCGAAAAGAAGGAGTCATAGACAGAAAAATCGTCCATAAAGACCTCCACCTTCTCTTTAATAAGGACAGAAAATATGTGCATCATGCACCTTTGGAAGGTCGTAAGAGCATTACAAAGGCCAAAGGGCATGCGTCTATATGCATATGTGCCGTAGGGGCATGTGAATGTAGTTTTCTCTTGGTCTCGGGGATCTATAGGTATTTGAAAGAAACCCAAGTACCCATCAAGAAAACAGAAGTAGGGATGGTTAGCTAGCCTCTCAAGCATCTGATCTATGAATGGTAATGGGAAATGATCTTTTCTAGATGCTGAATTAAGCTTTCTCTAATCAATACACATGCGATGACCGGTTATGGTTCTTGTGGCTATTAACTCATCCCTCTCATTCTTTACCACCGTGACACCACCCTTCTTGGGCACCACATGGACAGGAGATACCCACCTTGAGTCAGAGATTGGGTATATTATCCCTGCCTCAAGAAGCTTGAGTATCTCTTTCTTAACCACCTCCTTAAGGTTTGGGTTAAGACGCCTTTGATGCTCAATAGAAGACATATATTGGTCTTCTAGGTGGATCCTATGGGTGCATATGTCAGGAGAGATGCCTCTAATATCGGCCAAATAATAGCCTATAGCTCTCCTAAAATTTCTAAGCTTGCTAAGCAATGCATGTTCTTCATGAGCTAATAGGTTATCGTTTATGATTACGGAGTATGAAGAGTTTGAGCCTAAGAACGCGTACCTCAGCCCTATTGGTAAAGGTTTGAGCTCAACAGGGGGTGTCTTTGTCTCGTCCCAATAAAGCATCAAAGCTGTATTGCTCTAAAACAGCTCCCTCGGCATTGGTCTTCTCTCGCAGTTTACCACTACCCTCGGCTTGTGATGTCGCGGCCATGAGACCCCGAGGTGTCTCCCCAACTGTATTGGACCCTCTGATGTCCAAATCCTCGAGACCACTCTGTTTAAGCTCCAAGAATCTTGTCTCAGCTTCAAGTTCCCTCGGCTGATCCAAGAAATGCTTGTAAACCTGGATCTCTTCATACAAGAACCTGTGCTCACTTTGATCATTTCTGAAGACCACCTGTAAAGGGTCTTCAGTGTTTAACTCTTCAAGGAGCTCATCAGCTAGCTCCTCCATGGTTTCGATGTAGAAGACCTGACCTCCAATGGTCGGTTTCTTCATCATTTCCTTCACATCGAACTTCATGGTCTCAGAACCGATGTGCAGCTCGATCATGCCTCCTCTCACGTCTATGATCGCTCCTGCTGTCGCTAAAAATGGTCTCCCCAAGATGATGGGATCAATCGGCTCTTCATCCATCTCTAAGACTATAAAGTCTGTGGGGATTTCAATCTCACCGATTCTCAAGGGCAAGTCTTCAAGTAAACCGATTGGTAGCCTTAGTGATCGATCCGTAAGAACAAGAGAGATTTTAGCCGGTTTGTAGCTCTTAAACCCAAGTCTTTTAGCCACTGAATAAGGCATTAAGCTCACAGAAGCTCCCAAGTCACATAAACATCTTGAAAACTTCAATGGACCGACTGCACATGGTAAGGTGAAACTACCAGGGTCTGATAACTTTCTTGGCACTGATCTCCTTTGAATGATGGCACTGCACTCATGACTCAAGATGACCATCCATTGAAGCTCCTTTGTCTTGTTTATCGCGTCCTTTAGAAACTTTCCAAGCTGAGGTATAGCTAGAAAAGCATCTATGATCGGCAAAGTCATCTGAGTATTCTCTAAGTGCTTTTCAAACACTGCCTTTGCTCTGTCTAAAATCTGCTTCTTGAATCGCCCTAGAAAAGGTATCTTAGGCTGATAAGGAGGTGGTGGAACATAAGGCTTTTTAAGCTCAGGTGCCTTCTCCACCTCTTTAGCCTTGTCTTTAACTGGTTCTTTCTCTAAAACGTCATCCTCTTGCTCATCCTTTGAGGCAGCCTCCCCACCGATCTGTTCATTGTCCTCACTGAGCTTTTGCTTAGGCTCAGAAGCTTGGAGTTCTTTTCCGCTTCTCAAAGTGATAGCATTTACATATTCTTTTGGATTTGGTTCCGGCTTTCCAGGTAAAACTGGTCCTCTTGATGATGTGGAAGCTTGATTCTGCTTAAGCTCCCTGATATCTTGCTGCATGGACGCATACTGACTCTCGACCCTTTGTTGACTCTGTAGCAACTGTTGTAGAAGCCCACACATATCTGGTCCCATCTGACTCTGAACCGGTGCCTGTTGCTGCTGCTGACCCATTGGCTGTGGACTGAACCCTGGTGGACATTTGTGGTTCTGCGGTTGGTTGTTGTACTTATTTCCCTGAGCCGGTTGCTGCTGCTGTCCATAACTCTGTTGTTGCCCACCAAACTGCTGCTTTGGGTGAAAAGAACTTTGGAACTGAGGCTTTAGTGCATAGCTTTGTTGGTTTTGTTGAGCAGGGTACACCTGATCTTGAGGATTTGCTACATTGGGGTTGTGGTAAGAGAGATTCTGATTGGTTCCATAGTTGTTGAACCGCTGATACCTTTGTTGGTTCCCAATATAGTTGATCTCCTCTTGTGTGAGACCATCCTCATTCACATTTTCAAAGCTCGGCCCTTGCTCTTCAAACTAGCCTACAAAGTGTATTGGCTTTTGTGTAGCCACAAGCACTTTGTCTACCTTGTTTTGTAGCTCCCTGATGTCTTTTTCCATACGCAACTCTTTGCTAGACCCATCTGATCTATTAGCCCGGTCGAAATCCTCACCGTAAGTATCATTTGACATCACAAGATTCTCCACTAGCTCCATTGCTGCGTCTATCTCCTTCCCAAGAAAGTTCCCATTTGATGCTGTATCAAGTTGGTTTCTTATCTTTGGAAGGGCACCTCGGTATAAAGTGCTTAGAAGAGACGCCTCTGAGAAGCCGTGGTGTGGACACTGGTTAGTGTAGCTTCTAAACCGCTCTCAAGCCTCACCGAAGCTTTCATTTGTGTGTTGTGTGAAGCTTGAGCTCTGATTTCTCAGCTTAGCCATCCTTGAAGTGGAGAAAACTTTGAGAGAAACGCTAGCTTGCCATTGATGTGCTTTATCCCCTAATCTGAAGGAAAACAATCAGAGTTTGAAGCTGTCTTCTGATACCCCGTTTATCTTGGTGAGGTCGCAAATACGGTCAAACTGATCTAGGTGCTCTAAAGGATCCTCCATTGGCAAATCATGAAATTTGGATTTTTGCACCATATTGAGCAGGGAGGCTTTAACTTCAAAGTTGTTGTTTTGCACAGGTGGTGCTTGGATCCCTGCTCTATACTGATGTGCATTAGCTCGGTCGTTTTCACCAACAAAAACTGGTGGAGGTTGCCTTTGAGCCGGCCCCAGAGGCTGAGGAACCTTCTGTGCTTGTTGCTCATTTCGGTTAGCCTGTTGCTGGTTTTGCTGAGCCTGCCTCTCATTATGCTGAGCCATGTTTTGATTGACATATGCTTGTTGTTCGTTCCTCTCGGCCTGCGCTTGGTTAATATGAGCCTGGTGCTCGGCGTTATGAGTCTGTTGCTCTATCCTCTCCTGATCAGCCATACCCAACCGATCTTGATTCACAGCCCTCTCTCTAGCTCTTCTCTCAATCAAGTTGATGTTGTTGTTGTAATGCTGAGGTGGCTCAGTTCTTCTAGAGCGAGTTTGCATGTACCTGATCACTCAAAGACAGAACTTGAAAACGATTAGTAAAAACAAGAAAGGTAAGGCTTGATCTCAAGAAAAGGCAAAAACTAATGCTATCCAAAAGTTGGCAACGACGCCAATTGATAACTAAGACTTTTTGGTTTTAAAGAGGTATCAATCCCCTATAGTTGTAGTAAAAAAGGGGTATCGAATCCAAGCTTGTGGTAGACACTAGTTTATGATGCTTATAACTTAAGTCAAGCGCAATCAAGAAATGGTTTGGTTATCTAAACTACTTAAAGTGCAAGCAAGAACAAAAATGAACAAAGACAAGAGATTTAAACTAAACAAATACAAAGAAAGAAACAAAGATGGCAAGACAGATGATCGGTTGATGTATGAAATGATGAAATAGAGGTCTTAGACAGGATAAAAGACTCGGGTGCTTCCATGTGAAATCAGCGAGTTAATGAACCAAAATGATCAAACAACTTCATTTAACATGAACTCAAAGACAAGTTAATCCTCTCATGAAGGTATTAAGCTTCTAAACTGATCCTCTTTCATACCAAAATCCCTTTTGAGAAGCATGAATCAGCAAGCATTAAGAATCAGCTCAATAAGTCATTTAAGAGAAGCAAACTATCATTATCATGATGAAAAACTCTTAAACCTCTACTAAACCTGGTTTAGGTATTTCAGCGAACACTTCTCAGGCGTGAAATACCTCGGATCTAGACCACATGTGATGTTCATGGATCCAGCTTAGAGATTGGTTTAATAAAGAATGAATGATGTAGATCTAGAACCTAAACCCGCTAATATACCATGAAAGCACCCTAATCTACCTATCTAAAACCTCATAATGATCACTCACTAATCATGAAGAGCTCACTTAATCCTTTGCAAGATGTGAAGCTAGACATGATTAAAAGCTTTGATGATGAAAAGAAAATAAAAGAGAACAACATCTTTACGTAAAAACGAGATATCTGATTAAAGAAGCAGGTTTTCACAAAAGAGGCAAGTTTTCAAGGATAAAACAAGATAAGAGATAAGATAAGTAGGGTTTTAGTCCTAAAAACTATATATAGTAGAGCTAAGTGATGTGGGTCAGCCCAGAACAAACCGGGTACCGAACCGGTCTTCTTGGGTCGTTGGGTGAGCACCTCGGTGTGTGAGAGAGTGAAGCCGAGGTGTAGATGATGAGGGGTTCACGTGAGCAAAGATTGAAATGAAGATTTTATGAAGAACTCACCAAGAACATGCATGAACCCTAGTCTTTAATTCATCTTCACGTGCATTCTTTGAATCAGCTTTGTTCTTGAATCTGGGTTCATGACAAGGGACCCTGAAATAGCCATGCTGAGGGGCTTGGTAGTCGAGGGATCAAGGGAGATGAGGTCCGACATGTAATGCCGAGGTCTTGAGGCCGAGGTTTAGCTCCAAC